TGGTTCTGAAAAGTGGAGCCAATGTGGAAGTCCCTTAAATGTTTATTTACTCTATTTGCCAGCAGGGGGCGACTCCACTGGTTGCAAAGAACTCTGATTGTATAGAAGTCTACGAGAAAACGACACTACTTCTCCCTCGATTTATTACCGAAGTCCACATTGTAAACATGAGTTTATAGTCTCAATAGCTTCTTTAAGTACTTTTTTTACTTTTAATACAGCATTACATTCATTTGGTAAATGATTGTCCCATTTAGAGTGAAATAGGCTATAAAGCAGGGTTTATGTTGTTCTGATCTTGTGATTGACAGGTCACTTAGAGGTCGTTGTCAATTTCGGGTGTTATATGTGTTTTTTTCCAGAACTTAAACCCTTATACAGTGGGTTTTTTTCAGTTGATACATTGTATAGGAGCCTATGAGAACATTACACTGCTTCTCCCTTGATTTATTATCCAAGTCAACATTGTAAACATGAGTTTATGGTCTCAATTGCCAGATATGATTATTCTCTAAAACAGCATTATGTTTGTTTTGTAAATTATTATCCCATTTAGAGTGAAATATCAAATAAAGCAGGGTATGGTTTATGGCATTGCTACTTCGTGATTGACAGGTCACTTAGAGGTTGTTGTCAATTGTGGGTGTTATCCTTGTTTTGGTCCAGTACTTTAACCCTTTTACACTGTTTCAATTGATGAATTGCATAGACGTCTATGAGAAAATGACGCTACTTCTTCCTTGATTTACTACCTTAGTCAACATTGTTAACATGACTTTATGGTCCAAATCTCTAGTTTTAAGTCTTCTCCAAAACATCATCTTGTTCATTTTGTAAATGATTGTCCCATTTAGAGTAAAATAGACGATAAAGCAAGGCTTTGTTTATGGCGCTAGTAGCTTGTTATCGACAGGTCACTTTCAACACAGTTTTTTCGCTTCATGTAAGATTTAATATAATATTTTTCTCTTTCTATAAGATGAGTCAGTTTCTTCTACCCTTTGCTGTCAGATATGAGTGGGTTTTCTCCAGCTGTGGAGGACTATTAACAAGTATCCAGGCCTACCTGGCTCAAAGCTTTTAGATACTTGCACCTTGAGACATGGTCCATACTTCCTCCCCCCGCAGAAGTTTGAAGAGTCCTGCGGTGTATGTGTGTGTTCACCTGGAAGTGAGGGAGGCCCGTATCAGTGCTGGCACAAAGGAGCAGTCGCAGTTGGCAGAGGTTGGCCCTGTTGGATTTTAGGGCTGCATTATGCATTCATGTTTAGTCTCAGGTGCTACGTTTTATCCCCAGGCCAGCTTGGACCCATTTTCAATGGACCTTTTGGATGAGAAACCGTATAGGTGGAAGCAAAAAATGATTTCCATGCTTATAGAGATCTGCCGCTTTGTTCTGTCAGATTCAATTACTTCACCTCTAATTAGGGAGCTATAGAGGAGGCTGGGTTTGTGATCCACACATCACACTGTGGAGCCTGCTGATAATGTGCGGTATCGCTATCACAGCCCGGCCACAAGCTCCCCACATTGCGGACGTCTGAAAAAGCACACCATTATAAATTAGCTCTTACACTTTTGCACACACACACATATTTGTTTAGAGCCCTTCCTTTTTTTTAAGTGTGAGTTTTTCGGAGGCATATCTGTGTGTTTTTCCCATTTTCTGTTTTAGTCCACTGAGGCACAGACTCGTGTACAGAGTGTTTTCCTGAAAGATATGCTCATTCCACCACCTCTGTACGTACTCTCTCTTCCCTGCTCCCCTTCGTCTGTGACTCATTAATCCTCTGTCCATCATATGGTCTCAGAGTATCACCCCATTTTATAGACTCAGTGGGGGCATTACCATATCCCTCTCCGGAGCTCCACTCCGCATGGCCGATCCCTATCAGACAGAGGCCATGCCTTGAACAAAAGAGCCACTGTGATCAAGCCTGCATTCAGCTACCAATGTCTCTATTAGCATTGGCTGCTCCTGCTGCTGCTGCTCCGCTGCTTGACTGTTTGAACAGGGCTGAGATTCTCTCTCTAATCGGAGGAGGAAGAGTCTGATGAATGCGGATGATACAGTTCAGGGCGGAGGGTGTGGATGACGAGGCTGGGGGGGAAGGAAGGGATACCTGGACACTGACCCTGATTGAGAGGAAGTTCAGACAGGGTGCAGCTTCCTAAAACATCCTATTGAAAAATGAGCAGATATCAGTCTTTGTGCAAGGATGATTTTAGCAAAGCAAGCCATTCTCTAGAAAGGAAAACTCATGAATAAGTACTTAAAAATGTGACATGGATAGCTGTCAGACTTAAGGGAAAAGATGAGGATTGTAGGACTGCAAAATTATTATGACCTCTAGTTATGAAAAATAATTTAGTGAAAGCGAATTTATAATTAAAATATAATTGATTAATTATACCTATACCCTTATCGTCAGGAGATGGAATCAGATTTTTTGTAGGATTGATTTATGATCAAAAATTAAATGACCTGCTGTAAGATTTCTTTATCAATCAATTATCAAATCGTAGTTGATTTACTTTCTGTTGATAGGCTAATCAATTAAGTTCTATTTTTTGCATTTCTTTGTTTGTCGCAGATTTTAAAATATATTTTTGACGTCAACAGTATTTAATACTAGTCACACTAGCGAAAATTAAGCTTTGTAGATGATATTACAAGGACCAAACAGATTCATTTATAAGTTAAAGACACCACATAAATCTGAATCAGTATTTTTTATGTTTTATTCCAAAATCACCTATTTTCTGTCTGTTTAATGAGCGCTCCATTTGAAGGCAGACCGTGTTGCTCTCTGTGGCGACGTGCAGTGCTCTCCATGGTGTCATTGGCCATCTGAACTCCGAGGAGGCTTGATAAGAGGGTGAGGCAGCAGACATTCCTCTGGCCCGATTCGTCAGCAGACCCTATAGAAATGCACCAACAAGCGCGGGTCACACAGTGAATGTGACAGGATTTTAAACAGTACACAACTAAATATAGCAGGGACGCCACTATCAGAAAATTAGTTAGGAGTGTGGTGCTGGTCGTTTAGAAAGTCATTATTCTTATCATTGCTGTCTCTGAAATAATTTCAGGTCTCTCCATGCAATGAATACTGTATAATAAACGAAACACGTGAGAATGCGCACAAACTTTGGTAATCTGTGGCCAAGAAGTCGCCATCAGACCCCCTTTAATGTCTCTCAGAGTATTTCATTTTTCCATATTCAGTATGGCCTCCAGTATCTCTATCAGTTTGCAAAAGCTCCATTTAGTTACTATCTGTGAGAGTGGGGAAGTGAGATGCCCTTATTCTGAGTCTATTAAACCTCAATTCTATCTCATCTTATCTACCTAATCTTTGTGTCTTATTGACCATGAAGTTTATCTTGAATCTCCCTTTACCCTTATTATCACGCTACACTGTAGGTCTATTGGGTGCTGCTGTATTTGCCGGCAACTGAGGAAGAATCGTTTAGTTGTACACACAGTTCTTATTCAGCTGTGTAATGGAATGTGTACAGAGTGTGTATAGAAATGTATTTCTCCCGCTTTCTTTCACACACTGTCCTCAATTGCCTTGGCAGGAGCTTTTAACGCCAGTCATACAATCTCCCCTTGATACTGCGATATTTATCTCTCAGTATCATCTTAAGCGATGGTAGACTCATCGAGTCACTTCACGCCTCACTTCACTCCTCTGCGAATCAGCAGAAGGCATCAGATAAGATCATAAAAAACTGTATCCTAATTTAAAAAAGCAGCACTCTGCCTCGGCAGTGTCTATTAGAGATCCGTGTGCTAATTCTTTTCATGTCCGGGGCTCCTGCAGATGTAGGCCCTCTACAAAGGAGTAATTTATAAGACTAATGAAAAGAGCAAGCAGTTTGTGGACATCAGGGGGCTCTTTTATGAGGCTCGGTGTGCGGAAGAAAGAGAAACAGGAGAGCCCCACTTCCTGAACTGAAATTATTGCTTTATTAAAGCTGAGGGGCTCACTCGGGCTACAATAGAACAAACACATTGAAAGGTGTCGAGAGGATATCAGTGCACTCTGTTTGAGCTGCGGAATGATGCACAAGAGGCTGTGATAGAGACAGCATCCACATCTCACATGCAGCGCTTTTCAAGAGGAGATTTTTTTTATGAGCATGACGCAAATATTATTACATTATTTCAAATATAACCTTAAACTTGCATTCTTCTTTGCTATGCTAATTCATGTGCGGACATGTTTTGGTTCTGAAGGAGAGATGCACATTATCTTAATAACATTCAAATGCCGGATGAGATGTTTTTCAGGACTAATACAATTCAGGTAGCAGTACAGTAATTCCATCAGCGCCCCTTGATTGAAGCAAAATGGTAATATGCAAATACCAAAAGAGATGTACAGCTACGAGCAAAACTCTGGAATCATTTAGATTTAAAGAAATAATATTACACAGAGGGGGGAAAACATTAATCACACGGAAAAGTGTCTCCTTTAAGATTGCACTGGTGTATTACCCGGAGGCATGGAATGTAAATGGAAAATCAACATTGTACCGTGTGATAAGGCTAACAAATTAATAAAAGTATTTTCTTTCCCTCCTCCCATGCTGATGCCTGTTTAAAAAAGTGTGGAAAGGAACTTGTCCTTTTTTTTTCTCCCTCCGTTTGTGTGAGGTTTTGTTTTGTAGGTATAGCGGATTAGCATCAACGCTCACCTTGGCTGCAAGTCAGCTCGTTTTTTTTCAGAATGCGCTTAGGGCTTTTTCAATAGCTATAATGGAAGGACCTTTGTGAAACATTATGGTAAAACAATATTCTCTATTATTGACATTGCCTTATCTTTGTCTATACGTGGAGATGCTGCAATGTTGTGCTACATTTGTGGTTTCTTAACAAAAGGAAGGGAAGACTTTCATTTCTTTTTTGTTTAAGCGCCTGAAGGATGTGATGAAACTGCTGAACATATCCCAATGTGTGTGTGTGTGTATCTGTGTTTGTGTTCCCTCAGGTCCTCTGGAGGATGGCCTGGAGGAAGAGGAGGAGGAGTGTGTCTCCGAGGAGAACGAGCTCTTGGCCAAAGACGAGTTCTCGGCAGAGGAGAACTTCTCCGCCGAGTTCGAGACGGAGAACATGAGCTGCGAAGACATGGAGTACTTCTGCAACAAAGGTACGGATCACTAACACTTCAAAGAACACTGAGAAAACTGAAACATTGACTTTAATTCAATGAAATAAGTCAACAAATCTCACCTAGCTGTATTACGTTAGTTGAAAGCAATAATATTAAGTTGAACCTAATATTTGTATATCAACTAATATTATTGATTTGAACTAACCTAATTGAAATCTGTTGACATAATACATTTAAATAAAGTCAACGTTTGCGACAATATATCCAACCAAGCCTTGTGCCAAGCATCAAAAACAAGTTAAACTACTGCTAATGGCTTCTAATAAAATTCCTCAAAAAATCAAACCTGGCAGAGCTACTAGGAGTATCCATGCGAGGAATTCTCACTGCAGAGAGTTAGGACTGCTCATTCGGATATGTGATGCTAGCAATCCACCCAAGAGCAGTGGTTTGATCTGAGAGGGAGATGGCATCGGCGGCGCTCCCCCCCCCCACCCTCTGTGATAGTGCTGTGAAGGCGTGCTACGGTACACCAATGCACTGGAGAGCGTAGCACTTCCCTTTGTGAACACTCAGCAGCACCTGCTACTGCTCGGAGGTCCAGCACTATAAAGCTGCCTTTCCCCATCGCCAAATGCGCCCGAATCCC